AATAAACCTTATCCCAAAAGCAGATTTTGTCGTGGTGTTCCTGGTAAATGATAATAATTGTCAATGTAATTTTTTAATTTAAAATTTAATTTTATAATTAATTAATTTTAAATTAAAGATCCCAAAATTAGGATTTTTGATTTAGGAAGGAAAAAAGCAAATGTCGATGATTTTCCACTTTGTATTCATTTGGTGTCTAATGAATATCAACAACTTTCAAGCGAAGCTTTAGAGGCAGGACGTATCTGTGCCAATAAATATATTACCAAGATGGCAGGAAAAGATTCCTTTCACTTGAGAGTTCGTGTTCATCCATTCCATGTCATTCGTATCAATAAAATGTTGTCATGCGCTGGTGCTGATAGGTAATCAATTAAACATTGTGCAAATAATCATCAAAAGTAACAATAACAATAAATTGATAATCATTTATTTTTTTGTTAAAAAAGATTGCAAACTGGTATGAGAGGAGCTTTTGGTAAACCAATTGGTACAGTTGCTCGTATTGATATTGGACAAATTATTTTTTCTGTTCGTACCAAAGATAATAACAGAGCTGTTGTCAATGAAGCTCTTCGGCGTGCTAAGGTAATCAAAGTCATAATATTGACATTTTATTTTTATGTTGCACATTTTTTTAATTTTAATTTTTTTTTTTTAATAATGAATTTCATTCTAAATAATGATAGTATAAATTCCCTGGTCGCCAAAAGATTATTTTATCCAAGAAATGGGGTTTTACTAAGTTGTCAAGAGAGGAATTTGAAGAAAAAAGACAAGCTGGACTTTTACAACCAGATGGTGCCTATGTTAAATATTTATCTCATCATGGACCTCTTGCCAAACATCTTGATCAAATTGTGTCTCAATAGCTTGGACATTATCGTAGTAAATTAATAGTAAATGTAAAATTTTTTAATTTTATTTATAAGTAGTTTATTATTTATTATAAATTAAGAAATTATAAAACTTTTAACATTTTTTGAACCTATTAAAAAATTTGGTTTAATTATTTTTTTTTTCTTTGGAAAAAAAGAGTATAACGAATGCTCATGTGCCAGTGATTTTGAGTGTGAAAATTAAAATTAAAAAGCCATCCCAAAGAAAAAATTTATTATTCTATATTATTATAATTTAAACATTTATAAATTAATTTTCTTTTAAAGTATTAGCAATATTTTATGTTAAATCCTATTATAACACATTTAATCTTTAGTATATAATATTCATGTATTCTCATTAGTTGCTCCTGACTCTCAACTATACAATTAGCAACAGTTACAGGATCACCCTCTTTCAAAGGAGCAGCTAAACATTGATCCAGTTGAGAATAGGGATGAATGGTAAGTGCATTCTAATTTATTTGGAGAAAAAAAATATTATTATTACTGACAAAGTACAATTATGATTGTTAGTAATCTACCTTAAAATATGATTCACCATAATACCATTCTACATTTGTAGCATTAACCAAAGAACTCATAGATAATGTGTTATCTTCTTTGTTCCATGATAATCTATTTCATTAAATAAAATATTCATTGATATTTATATAACATCATTATAATTTATTTATTCTACATACATAGTAAGTTCGGGTCCATAAACCATAAATGCCAAATGAAAATTTATTTTGTGTTGGACTACTAGTAACACAATATTTTATTTGTAATGGATTTGTAAAAATATCCAAA